ATTTCATTTTAATTTTGAGACGGAAGTACTAAAAACATTAATATATTAATGGTATTGTCTTAAAAGATTTGTAACATGATCCGATAAAAATCTAATATACTACGTATATACAATACTACATTACTATATATAAAAAATAATACTTATTAGTATTAAATATAAAAAATTGTTATAAATAAGGAAATAAAATATGGATATAAAATAGTACTCGGTACATTATTGTATATACAAAATAATACTGATTACTATATAAAAAGTGTTTTTAAAGATTTTTTTATTTACATATTTGCGAATATAATGAAAGGAGTAAATAATTGTAAAAAATGGTAAAAGTTTAAAAAAAAGAAATAAGGAGATAATTCTATGAAGAATAATACACTAGAGATTCAAATAAATCTTATATGCATATATTATTATGGAAAACATTATTATTATTACATATGGTAATCTTGGTGCATATATTATATAATGATAATTATTTTAGGAAAAAACAATACTCCGTATATATGGAAAATACATACTATTTATAGATGGTATATTTTTATATGGACATATGATGGGGGATAACTTCATACTTGGGTGGCAATAAATATGATGTCAATATAAATTTATAACGTAAATACGAGCCGTGCAACGCACGGATGTGATACTAGTTTTGAAAAAATTAAAATATTTTATGAAACGAGTAAGATGAGAAAATTGAAATATTTTATAGACCATGATTGATCTTGCCTCTTTAATTCTGTTATAAATCAAAACAATATACGACACATAAAGGTTCTGATTGGCACAAAGAACAAAACATATTATAATTAATGGTATGAATCCAAGTAACATTTCAACAACAAAAAAACATTAATTTATTAGTTCAATTTCAAATGCTTCATAGCATCACTTTATAATAATTATAACAATAAATATATTAATAATACTCGGTAATTAATAGTGAGAAATCACAAAAGAGGCCAATTAAGTAATTATATATTATTAATTAAAATTGGCTGCGGGAGGGACTTCTTTGCAATCTTTGAGACAACTTATGATAGAATTTGGGATGGGTATGGACAACTGGATTAGGTAATAAGACACTTGGGCTGAACAACATTAAAAGATTGAATTCAATCGATTAGTTAATTCAACTCAAGGGCTTATGTAACGGTTTATTTTCTCTTCAAGTTCCGATGTGGGATACTCTTTAACAACTTAATTAGTTTGTCACCCCAACAACTTCTTTCAAAGCAGCACCAGACTCAACGAAGTGTGCACTCCGCACCACCAAACTTATTTGACGATTATTAAGATACCATTCGCCACATAGTTTTTTCTAATTACAGTAAAATATATAAACAGTGACCATCGGATCGGGTCTGAGGGGACCCTCGAACTCATCCTTAATTTTTTTCAAAAACAACAAAACAAACACTACGACAATTGTGACACATAGAGAAGGGGGAATGATGAGTTTAAGCAGATGCTGCAACCCAAATGGTTACCAAAGATAAAAAGGCTTGCAAAGACCAAGCTAAATATGCAGTGACAACTGCAAATATGTACATTTTGCATGGAGCCCCTAGTCTCTCGCAAACTGATGATGTCTCCAACAGCCAATGCACTACCGCTGCCGATGCCGTTGCAGATGCAAAAGACAAAGGGCCAACACACTGCAATTATTTTTTTCAATCAAATTTCAAACAAGAAATTAACATAATGAAAATTAGACAAATTAAAGTATTTTAAATTTTGAACTTACCGAGTCGAAAAATGCAGTGAACCTCACGCGAAGTCGGGAGGGTATTTTGGTCCCGTGCACCGCAGTCCGCAGACTTGTAATCCATGCACACAACAAGGAAGCTCCATATGATTTGGACAGCTTGTGACACTGCTAAGTAGCTATGAAAAAATGAACATGACATTGGTGGAAAAAAAAGAAGAAATTGTTTAGAGTTAAGAGACATGAAGTAATTAAATTTGAGACCAGATCAGAAGCAATAATACCACAGAGCTGAAATGCCAATGAACTTAGAAGGTCTCGAAATAAGAGCCACCAAGGAAACCAGGGAAAGTAGACCCTGCAGAGTCCTCAGTATTATCCCGCTCCTCTTTTGCCCCGGTCCGCCCAAAACTTTCCTCATCGCCATTTGCCCGCAGATCAATATATATATATACTTTTTTTTCTTGATTTTTAAGAAGAAGAAGAAGATAGGGGATCGGAGGAGATGAAACACTGCAAGTGGGAAGAAAGTGGTGGGGAGGCCATTATTAATTAGTGGAGTAGTAAAGTTTGCCTCTTAAGGGCAATCATCATCTCCTGCGGTACGTACAATGTCCGGCCCTTCCAAAAATATACTCCGATGCTTTTGTCCATTTAATTTGCTAAAGTTGATAATTAGTGTTCTTCTGAGTTTTGATCTCTCACTTACTTAGTGCCCTTTTTTTGAATACAGCGAGAAATATTAATGGCAGTC